AGTCATGTAAGCGCTGAAGTTTTAAAGTTGTAAGAAAGTCACATTTGTAGCTCTGCATTGACAGTAGCCCATTCTCAGAGGAAATTTAAATCAGTTGTTGGCCATTTGAAGGCAGTATTTACATTAAATATTGGCATTACCAGTCAGACTTACTTCAGTTTCAATCAAAAATATCAGCATATAAATGAAGTTACCAGAATAAGTGATACATGCCAAGCCATTAATGCTAAGCCTAAGACTGCCTTTCATTTTCTAGGTTCATAACTCCCACCCCATTTTTACTGAAAACCCTATTAAGATGAGGTACGAATTAGTATGCACCCAGAAAATAAGCAGGATCCATTCATTAATTTTTTGCTATGAGATCTGAAATGTTCTAAACTTTTTTGGAAACATGGATTGATTATAGCTAAGTAACAAATGGGCCTTTTAAGTGAAATACTATGTTTTTTTCATTTGTATTAAATGAGTTTTGGAAACCATTAGAATTTTAGTTAGTATACAAGTTTTTAAAAAGTTGCCTAGATTAGATATTCTTTTTTTTAAACCACTTTGTGAGGTTGTTTTTGAAAATGTGGGTGTCTGCCTTGTAGTTTGTAGAAATCTTTTAAAGAACATTTAAAATGACTAAGGAATAGGGACCCTTACACAGTGGTAGGGCAGGTGCTTAGCGTGCCTCAGGCCTTGACTTCAGTCTCCAGCACCCACAAAAAGGAAAGGACAACCTGATGGTAAGCTCCAACTCAGCAACAAATTAATTAAATTGTACATTATTGCTCATCTTAGAAAATGAGAGTATTGCTGGGGATATAGCTCAAACGCATAAGCGCCTGCCTTGCAAGCAAGTGGTCGTGAGTTTGATCCCGGTAAAAAGAAAATGAAAGTATTGACTGCAGTACAAACAAGGACAAAGAAACATGAAGTTCTTTAATATTTTTCTGTATTTTTATCTTATGTGGAACAAAAAGTTTAATAATGTTTCCCTAACGTGAAAAGGGCCAAAAGGGCTATATGTGGGTGTAAGAGTGATGACTTCTCAATAACAAACTTACTAATGTTTAACAGAATTATGTATTGTGTAAAGTTGTACCCCACCTGCTGTTTTTGAAGCATGTGAAACCCTTCTAGCTCTTAGGCTGTAGATCTGAATATGTGCTGTTATGTTCTCAGCAAGAGAGGCTGTGTTGGTTTTTGGAGATTGTACATTTACAGTAACTGAAACATTTTAGAAGAAAGCATAATAAAGAAACATGAAGATTTTAATGCCTTATTTTTGCCAAAAGTTATTTTTTCTACTGTATTTACAGATTTTTTAGAAATCTATACTAAAGATATTGAAGCTTTGGGCCTGAGGCTATTTTCCTTAAAGAACTAAGTAAACACTCTTTGTTTTCACATTGGAAAATGTATTTTAGAAATCCTAAATTACAATAATTTCAAGTAGTGTGATCATCTTCTAAATATCAAAGTATGGCCCTAGGCTAAAATGGTATTTGGAGTTTACTTTTCATAAGCGTAAATTCTAGGTCGTAACGTACTTTTTAATCTTTTTTTTTTGGTCTTTTTTGTTTTTATCAGTACCGGGGATCGAACTCATGGCTGCCTGCTTGCAAGGCAGGCGTTTATGCTGCTGAGCTAAATCCCAGCCCTGTAACATACTTTTTAGATGAAATGGTGTTAGTGCCCCACCCCACAGCTTTAGTGTTTGTTTTGTATAGAGTAACAGCCACAGTTGATCATGGCATTTTATAATGAAACAAGTTCATCATTCTTAGTTGTCTGATTGGAGGGTTATTACTATCTCACAAAATGTGGACTTTTCCTCATCAATGAACGCTTTAAATTATTTATTCTAATCACAGTGGTACTATGTTCTGTTAGTTAAGTTTACAGAATAAATTCTATTTTAAAAGTCCCCAGTTGTGATTGTGATCCAAAAAGTTTATTGCAGCCATGATAAATCCTGTGGTGAGTGGGTTGTAGAAAGTAAAAATGGGTAATTTGGGGTTCGTGTTGGCTGGCAGCAAGGGTATGTTGATTGGATTGAGTGGAATGTTTCGGGGAAAGGATAGTTGTGGTAATTGTATTCTTGGACATTTTGCCTTTAACTTTGGGTAATCTAAGGCTTTTTCCCCCCTTCTTTTAAAATCAGTAGTGGTAGGGGCAGCATAGTACCAGTCCATATTTATGGATCATTTCCAAGTTCAGAAGGTAGATTGCAAATTCTCTACAAGATTTATTTATCTTATGTGTCTTATCACACCACAGCTTTTGGTTTCCTTACTTATCTCAGTGGCTACTCTGTGTCCTTTGTTGAGTACTTTCCTTCTGCTGCTTAAATCTTGGGGAGCAACAAGATTTCATTCTTCATTTTCTTTTCTTTTATCCATGTTTGCCTTGTCAGAGTTCTCATTCAGTTTCATGATTTTCAATACCATCTGCCATGTTCTGACACTCTCCAGTCTATATCTCCACACTGGGCCCCTCCCAGTATCTGTCTGCCCGCTTGAAATCTTAATTTGGATAAACCAGTAGGCTTCGGGGTACTAGTCAGCTTTCTATTACTGTGACAAAATACCTGAGATAATCAGCCGAGAAGGAGAAAAGTTTGACTCGTGTTGGAGTTTTCCTTATATGGTTGATTGGTGCTGTAGCTTCCGGCCTGTGGTGGTGTAAGTACATGGAGGAGCTGACAGTGGAGGGTGTCCATTCACTTTGTGATGGGGAAGCAGAGGTTGGGTCCTGAGTAGCCCCTTCAAAGGCACATTCTCAATAACGTCCTCTCGCTCTAAGTAGCTACTGACTTTTAATGGTTTCACCACTTTTCAGAGTGCTGTAGGCAGGTGACCAAGCCTTTAATATATGGGCTTTCGGGGACACTTCCAAATCACAGCAGTTTCCAACTTAACTTTATTGCAGAGTCCTCTGATTGGACTATCTCCAGCTTTTGCTCTTACTGCTCTGCATTGCCTGGACACGAGTGATTCTTCTTCACTTTGAGTTAGATGGTGTCATTTCCCCTGTTAATCTTGGGTTTTTCATTTATAGTAAAGTGATGAATAGTAGTGTCTCCTTCAACATAATACAGTTTTCTCAAACAAAAGACAGTGCTTATTTAACATCATGAAATGTTCTTTAAAGCTTTTTCTTCACATGTGTGGTTTATTTCTACTTAATGTTTTGGGATTGAGCTCTTTCTTTGCTTTTACTCATATTTAATTCTACATACCTAGAGTAATGCTGGTTGATAGCAGATTCTTGCTTCTGTTAGGTTGAATGGAACTTCCCAATTTTGTTAGCATCACTAGATCATTTTATAATACACATATTTTTATGACTATTAGAACTGTTGCCCAAATTGAGATAGCTCTAGTTTGGGGAAAATATTTTCTGATTTTGTGTAAGTGGAGATCATTTCCCTAGAGGCCAGAGATGTAGTTTCCTGCTGCTGAGAAGGCATGATAGCTAAGAACAAGTCAGGGGGCCCAGCTTGAACGTGAATCAGTGTCAGTTATGCTTTTAATTGCTTTCCCCTCATTCGTGTTTCTAATGAAATGACTAACAACTCAAGTTCAAAGTAGCTGAGTTAAGATACTGTCAGTTAATGCTACCGTACTAACGTCTACACCGCTGAGAAACCAGCCTTCCGGTCTGCTGTGTCCTTCACCTGTGATAGCATTCACATTTGTGAATATTAATTTGAGAGTTACCTTACAAGGGTACCATTCTGTCCTCTTGATGCTGCTGGGGCTTTTGTGAAGCTGCGGTGATTTATAAGACACATCGATTAGTGTGGTACAGAACAGGGGCCTGAAAATTAATGGTCCCAGTGGACTTGACCTGCCCCCTACTTGTCAGATACCCTTTCTGCAGCTTTCCTCTTTCCTTCCGAAGTCAACCTCTGACCTCTTGGAGTCCTGTCACCTTGCTGTGTTGATTTGACCCCTTACATGTGTTAGCTCTGGTGACCACAGCTTTTGTGTCTACCTTGTCTTTTGCTAGGATCTCCTGAGTGACAGATGGTCAAGGTTTTAAAGATAGTAGATAGATATGGATGCTAGTGGTTGTTGACATTAGTGGTGTGATAAAATATTGATGCTTTAGGTAAGATTTCCTTCTCTGGCTTAGAAAGGCAAATTTTGGATACCAAACCACAGACTTGTGGTTTTCATATTATAAACTGACTTTTTTTGTGTGCTTATTTTACTATTTTAGACATTCCACATCAAAATTGATAATGATTATTTTAATACCTATAAATAGTTACATAGTGTTAAATGATAGAGTAGGCCCTTGTTTTGTGTAGGGATATAGGGAGGGAGCATAAACTTTTTTTCTTTTTTTTGAGATAAGGTCTTGCTTTTGTAGGTCAGGAGGTTATGTAGAACATCCAATAATTCCTCTTGCCTCAACCTCCTGTGTGCTGGGATTACAGGTGTGTGCCACTATGGGAGGCCAAGTTAATTATTTTTATAAAGGAATTATGCATTTGCAGGATACATTTTGAAGTGAGATTACAAACTCATGATGCAAGGTCATATACAACTATTGTTGAGGAAATTTCTTCCTTAATTAGAAGCTTTATATGCTCACAATATAGTATGTTGAGAAGCACTTGAACATTTAATTCATTATGTATAAGTAAATGTAAGCAGCATTCACTTACCTACCTTTTAAGTAATTGCTTATATTTGCTTTGAAGATTTAAGTATAAGAATAAAATTTAGGTTCAGTTGGCAGACTTTCATTTAATGAATCAGATATGAAAAATAGGGATTTTTCATTCAAAAAATTACTGTGAAGCTTATTAATTTTACCCAGTACTAAGAGTATTTGATATTCATATTCGAAAAGCAGGGAAGGGAACCCCAAACCATTGTATTTGTTTATATTCCATGTAGATAGAAAATATTTTATTGAATTGTCAGATTTAGAATTATACTTACTAACTTGTTTTGTTTCCCCAAAGTAATAATTGCTATTTCTTTCTTCTATTTTAGGTTTCTGAGATTTAAGCAATGGGGAGACATCTAGCCTTGCTTCTGCTTCTCCTCCTCCTCCTCCAACACTTTGGAGACAGCGATGGAAGCCAAAGACTTGAACAGACTCCGTCTATCCAGTTTACACATTTCCAGTACAATGTCACTGTGCACGAGAACTCTGCCGCCAAGACCTATGTTGGGCATCCTGTAAAGATGGGTATTTACATTACAGATCCATTGTGGGAATTAAGGTACAAAATTGTCTCAGGAGACAATGAAAACCTATTCAAAGCTGAAGAGTACATTCTTGGAGACTTTTGCTTTCTAAGAATAAGGACCAAAGGAGGAAATACCGCTATTCTCAATAGAGAAGTGAAAGACCATTACACACTGATAGTCAAAGCAGTTGAGAAAAACACTAATGCTGAAGCACGGACAAAGGTCAGGGTGCAAGTGTTGGATACAAATGACTTGAGACCGTTATTCTCACCCACCTCATACAGTGTTTCCTTACCTGAAAACACAGCTATAAGGACCAGTATTGCAAAAGTCAGTGCCACAGATGCAGACATAGGAACTAACGGAGAATTTTACTACAGTTTTAAAGACCGAACTGACATGTTTGCTATTCACCCAACCAGTGGTGCAGTAGTTTTAACTGGTAGACTTGATTACATGGAGACCCAGCTCTATGAGCTAGAAATCCTTGCAGTGGACCGTGGAATGAAATTGTATGGTAGCAGCGGCATCAGCAGCTTGGCCAAGCTAACGGTTCACGTGGAACAGGCCAATGAATGCGCTCCTGTGATAACAGCAGTGACATTGTCACCATCAGAACTGGATAGAGACCCAACATATGCAATTGTGACCGTGGATGACTGTGATCAGGGTGCCAATGGGGAAATAGCTTCCCTGAGCATTGTGGCAGGTGACCTTCTTCAACAGTTTAGAACAGTAAGGTCCTTTCCAGGGAGTAAAGAGTATAAACTCAAAGCCATTAGTAGTATCGACTGGGATAGTCATCCTTTTGGCTATAATCTAACGCTACAGGCTAAAGATAAGGGAACTCCTCCCCAGTTTTCTTCAGTAAAAGTAATTCATGTGACTTCTCCACAGTTCAGAGTTGGGCCAGTCAAGTTTGAAAAGGATGTTTACAGGGCAGAAATAAGTGAATTTGCTCCTCCCAATACACCTGTGGTCATGATAAAAGCCATTCCCAGTTACTCCCATTTGAGGTATGTTTTTAAAAGTACACCTGGAAAAGCTAAATTCAGTATAAATCCCAACACTGGGCTCATTTCCATTTTAGAACCAATTAAAAGACAGCAGGTGTCTCATTTTGAATTTGAAGTAACTACGGGTGACCGAAAAGCCTCCACCAAAGTCTTGGTTAAAGTCTTAAGTGCAAATAGCAATCCCCCCGAGTTTACGCAGACAGCATACAGAGCATCTTTTGATGAGAATGCACTCATTGGTACTACTGTGTTGAGAGTGAGTGCTGTGGACCCTGATGATGGTGAGAATGGGTATGTGACTTACAGTATTGCAAATGTAAATCCTGTGCCATTTGTGATCAACCATTTCACTGGTGCTGTGAGCACTTCAGAAAATTTGGACTATGAACTGATGCCTCGAGTTTATACTCTAAGGATTCGTGCGTCAGACTGGGGCTTGCCGTACCGCCGAGAAGTTGAAGTCCTTGCGACAGTTACTCTCAATAACTTGAATGACAACACACCTTTGTTTGAGAAGATAAACTGTGAAGGAACAGTTCCCAGAGATCTAAGTGTGGGGGAGCAGATAACTACCGTTTCTGCTATTGATGCGGATGAACTTCAGTTGGTGCGGTATCAGATTGAAGCTGGAAATGAATTAGATTTGTTTGACTTAAACCCCAGCTCTGGAGTTTTGTCATTAAAGCAGTCACTAGTGGATGGCTTAGGTGCAAAGGTGTCTTTTCACAGTCTGAGAATTACAGCCACAGATGGAGAGAATTTTGCCGTACCTTTATATATCAACATAACTGTGGCCGCCAGTCGCAAGCCAGTAAACTTGCAATGTGAAGAGACTGGGGTTGCCAAAATGCTGGCAGAGAAACTCTTGCAGGCAAATAAATTACACAGTCAGGGGGAGGTCGAGGATATTTTCTTTGATTCCCACTCTGTCAATGCTCATGCCCCACAGTTTAGAAATACTCTTCCAGGAGGTATCGAAGTAAAGGAAAACCAACCGGTGGGTTCCAATGTAATTTTTATGAATGCTACTGACCTTGACTCTGGCTTCAATGGAAAACTTGTCTATGCTATATCTGGAGGAAATGAGGATAGTTGCTTCATTATTGACATGGAAACAGGAATGCTAAAAATTTTATCTCCACTTGATCGAGAAACAACAGACAAATACACCCTGAATATGACTGTGTATGACCTCGGTATTCCACAGAAGGCAGCTTGGCGTCTTCTAGATATCGTCATTCTGGATGCCAATGATAATCCACCTGAATTTCTACAGGAGAGCTATTTTGTTGAAGTGAGCGAAGACAAAGAAATAAACAGTGAAATCATCCAGGTTGAAGCCACTGATAAAGACCTAGGGTCCAATGGACACGTGACATACTCTATTCTGACAGATACAGATAAGTTTTCCATCGACAGCATCACTGGGGTTGTTAAAGTTGTTCACCCTTTGGATCGTGAAGTACAGCATGTGCATTACTTAAAGATTGAAGCCAGGGATCAAGCCAAGGAAGAACTCCAGTTGTTTTCTACTGTGCTTTTGAAAGTATCACTAGAAGATGTTAATGACAACCCACCCAAGTTTATTCCTCCTAACTACCGGGTGAAAGTTCGTGAAGATCTGCCAGAAGGAACCATAATCATGTGGTTAGAAGCCTATGATCCTGATGTAGGTCAGTCTAGCCAAGTGAGATACAGCCTTTTGGACCACGGAGAAGGAAACTTTGATGTGGATAAACTCAGTGGAGCAGTCAGGATCGTACAGCAGTTGGACTTTGAAAGGAAGCAAGTGTATAATCTCACAGTGAGGGCCAAAGACAAAGGGAAGCCAGTTTCTCTATCTTCCACATGTTATGTGGAAGTTGAGGTGGTTGATGTGAACGAGAACTTACATACACCCGTGTTTTCCAGCTTTGTGGAAAAGGGTATAGTGAAAGAAGATGTCCCTATTGGTTCATCAGTAATGACAGTGTCAGCTCGTGACGAAGACACAGGAAGAGATGGGGAGATCCGATATTCTATTAGAGATGGTTCTGGTGTTGGTGTTTTCAAGATAGATGAAGAAACAGGTAAGTCTGTTTGTATTACTCTTGTTTTTGATACCCCCCAACTTTTTGGTTTTACATCTGCCTTATGATAGTTTGTCAGTTCCCAGTTGATCTCATGTAGGGTTCAGTATAGAAATGTATGCGTATTTTGTTGTATTGCTGCATACATGTATGTATGTTTATGTGCAGTAAACCATGTCGATGAACCCAGAGGAGCCCTGATGATTACGTGAACATAAAATGACGGAAAGAATATTGACCCTTTCACCAGTGATGCTCATTACTAAGTTTGTATCATCAAAAATATCATTGTGATTTTGTGGTAACTTTGAGAAGCCCCTTTGGGGTTTTTCAAGTCAATATGTTTGCAGATGCACACTGACTACAGTCAGCAGCACCATGCCATCCACAGGTTATTGCACACCTGAAAATTGTTCAATTCAGAGAAGGCTGTATGCTGAAACTTGTATTATGTGATCTGCTTCACCTGGAACCTCCCTCAGGTTTTGTTTGAGAGGTATGTGGAAGCTTCGTGGAATAATGAATGAAAATACCTCGTTTAGAATCCTGGTTCTTGCAGTTAGCTCATTGTCTTGGACAAGTGAAATATTTTTTCGAACCTTTTCATCTATAAAATGGATACACTCAAAATAACTACAAGATTCTTGTGAAGATGCAATGAATAAAATAGAAAAGCTCCTACTATGTGTTACTTTTTTTTATTATTTTTTGGAAGTGGTAGCAATACTTTATTGTTACTGTTTCATCTAGAATCAAGTTCTAAAACTGGGGTCTCCAAGATCTCCTATTGATGTGGGTGTGTAGGCATCACACTTTTGCGTACGTTACTCTGGTTGCGTAGACATTGTCATTGTCCCTGATGGAGTGAGTGAGCCTTCTAGGGTAGGGTTTTTTTTTTTTTTTCTTTTTTCTCTTTATTTAGGATCAGTTTTAGCTTATACATTTTCTGTCATCAAAGCCTTGCAAAAAGTGCCTGGCATATAGAAGCTAGTCAATAACTGTTAATAGAAAATGAAGAAATTAATGCATATTTTGGCTTTAAATGTTCTGCCTTCTGAATGTGAAATTTGAAATAGAAGAAAACTGAATAATCACAGTGCTTAAAAAGTAATAGGTGGACTTCAGTGCATTCGCTAATTTCATTGATATTTCATTTATAAATGTATTCACTGTAAAAGGGAACTTGCATGTTACATTAAAGTTTTATCTATTTGGTAATGCCACACATCCACAAAAACCTCCAACATTCTTTAGTCAACACTCATCAAAGTATTTATACTGACATCTGAAGGCCTATAGCACTGGAATAGTGTAACTTGTGATAGAAGTAGTTATTTTGGAGGTTATGGTTTTTTGTTTTGCTTTTATTAATTCAAGGAATTCTTTGTCTAATTTATTATATACCACTAACAAGTATTAGATACAGGAAATCTACAGATTGTATAACTTAAGATTTTTGTAGTTTGATTGAAAAGAAAGTAAAATAAGCAGTGGTTTTTGACAGTTACCCATCTGAAAAGTAGAGTTCTATTTTTCTCATGCTACGAATATAAATTAGAATTTTCAAGGATTATGTCAATATAGAAAAATATCCAAAGGTTCCGAAGTGAAGTTGAAACTATGATTTTATAAATTTTCTAAGAGTAGTATTTTCTACTTTTTTGTTTCCAAAGTAGATTTTAAAACCTGCAAAAAAAAGAGAAACTATTACAAGTTAAAGTTGAGTCAGAAAATAGAACCCAAATGTTAATTTCCCTAGTCTTTGTGACTTAAATTATATGAACCCTGCCTTTGACTTTATTGTTACTTTATAAAGAATCATTTGGAAAGTACTATTTTTCACTTACAGACTTAAGGAATTGGGTTATTCTTGTTACCAAGAAAAAAAGCAAAAGAAGGAAACAGTCAACCAAATAAGGCAGTGACCTGAAATAGCTCCATGATAGTTTTCAGAGCTAAAAGGCAATGCCAGACTTTCCCAGTGGTAATTTAGGGAGGAGGAGGAGCAGGTGGCAGAATTATGGGTAGTATGATTGGTAACTGTATAAAAGACTGTTATGCATTCGTGTAAATAATGATATTTAAATATCAGAGAAACTGGAAATTTCTTGGTCAGGTATTCTGTGGTCCTTGCATTACAGAGCAAAATACTCAGTGTATGGTAGATTAGGGTTTATTTGCTTTTTGAAGTCAAATAAGTGATACAGTAATATTCACACATTGGACTGGGAAACTTTAATATTTTGGGCAGTAAAGTTATCAGACAGTTATTTTAGAGAGTCTCGAACAGGATGGTTGGTAATGATAGCATTCTTTCAAGGAAGAAAAGAAAAAGTGTGTTATGCAGTAGAAAAGAACACTATTATTCAGCAATTTGAAGCTTTCAGTTTTTAAGATCTTTTCTTTAAATCTATTTAAACCTAAAGTATCCCCCTGAAAAATAGCTTTTTTAATATAAATTCTACCACCCAGATCTATGTCACCAAAGGCTGTTCTCCAGATTTTGTGCGTGTTTTGCTAATTGGTTTTGCAGGGAGATAATATAACTGTAGTGAAGGAATGGTAGTCACTTTTGCATTTGATAATCTCTCCAGGGTATCATGTGCCTTTTCTGGATAGGTCTCTGGGTATTAGTGAACTGTTGTGACAAATCCATGATCACATGATTACTTTTCTATTTGAGATTTGGAAGGATTGAGTGTTTACTCAGGAAGTTATTTGGAAAGTCAGACTTTCTAGAGAGCCAATTTCCAGAGCTCTAATTGATTCTTTGTATTTCTCTTAAAGTAGATTCAATACAAATACTATCCGAGTAAGTATCTTTGAAGCATGTATAATTTTACATTTAGCTTTGCCTGATGGTATGCTTCTGAGCAGCCACCTCATTTTTACTTTAAAAATGTTCTTACTTGCTTTGTTGTAAGCTTCAAAGTTAAGAATACATCCCATTTAGCCTCCTTAGCTGATGGATATCCATCAAGTTAATTAGTGCTTGAGAATGAAGAAGTTGCATATTTTGTTGTTGCTGTTAATATTTAACACTAAAGTAGCATCTAGGAAAATGCTTATCCAAAAGATGTTTATGATTGTTAGTGGCAGCGTGTGTTGCTGCAGTGTTTGGCTGAGTCTGGTGCTGGTATACGGTGATGAGATGCCTCCAGGTATGTTTCCTTTTTAATCTAGAATATTTCTGTCTGTGTTTGGCTGTCAGTACCGTGCCACCCAGTGAGAGGTTTTCCCCTTCTGTCTCTGTTTATTTAGGGAGACTGTGTTTTTCATTAAGATAAGAGCAAATTTTTAAACTTAGTAATGTTGCCTTACTTTTCGAATCCCAGTTATGATTTCAGGATTGAAACTTAACATATTTTGATAGAAATTGTTGGAATGATTAATGGAGGTAACTGTTAAGACAAGATAAACCATGAAATGTGGGTAAGACAGTGAAGACTAGATTTTTCTTCAGAGGAAATGGCTGCATCTTTATGGGAAGTTTTAGTGCACTGTCCTGTATCACCCTTCAGAGATTGGCTCCTGGTTTTTCTTGGATGGATACAGGATGAGTGCCTTCGTGCCATGGAGACAGAAAGGAAGAAATTCTTATCCAAGCTAACTTGATTGCTGGCCTCATTGACAGAGAAAATGTTTTTATATCCTCTCCTGTTCTGGCAGGAATATTTTCATATTTTAGTTATTCATTCAAGTTTTTAAACTATGTTTTTCTAACTTAAAGGTAGGATATTGTGCATATGTCCAAGGATCTATGATTTTTTACTACTGCGTGTTCTCTTATGCCAGAAATTGGAGCGTAGAGGATACTAAGAGGCCATGTATCATGACCCAGAAGTCTAAGAGTGGTGAATAGCTGGGCTGCTGGCCGTTGGAAGTGTGGCTCCTGCGGTGGGAGCAATTCCTTCTGCTGGAACCAGTCTAGAATTCCTGGCAGCATGAACTTAAATAGATAGTGGTGGGAGGCCTGGTTAGGGAGCTAAGAAATTTGCTAGTGAAAGGGCTTTTGTGTTGCTGTCTCCTCCCTTAAGTGGCAGCAGCTGCTGTCCTCTTCTCCTTTTTGTTCATCTCCTAGGAAAGTTTGAGAGAGGAAAAAAAAGTTCTCAGCTACAGTGAGATTGAAAATCAGAGCCTTGACAGAAATTCTGTATGATAGTATGCTTGTTTCGGGAGTGAAAATGTGCTCCATTGTGTGTGCCATTGTGAATCTAGGCAGGGCAGGGCAATAATCTGCTGGAGAAAGGATCCTCCCCTGATCTTTAAGGTGAAAGTTGGATCTAATTAGAAATCCTAAGGAAATCCCATTTTATTTTGAAAGAAAACAAGGTCAGCTCTTCTTTAGTCATTTCTGTGGTATTTTAACAAGTTGATGCTGTAAGTGCTGAGTGGAAAAAAGTCTACTTGGGAGGAGACAATGTTGGGATGTAAACTGTGAAGGCTGTGTTACGTTGTGAAGCAGAATGTGATGTGACACTTTTCAGTGCCTTCAATATACAGAGTTGTGAATAACATGTAGGAATCGGGATCTGAAAGCATGGGGTAGAAACAGCTTCCAGCATGGTCTTTTGGTCAGTGGTTTAGGTGGTAATGATGATAATGATGCTGAGCATCAGTATAATAAAAACTGGAGTTATTACAAGCAGGGACTGTGCTACACACTCAGTTCTTGCAAGTACCGGATAAATAATGTGAATCTCTGTGTTTCAGATAAGGGAAGCACGCACAGAGAGGCTAAGTAACCTGCCCAAGCGCCCTTGGATAGGAACACAAAGTTGTATTCTATTGCCTCGCTCTCTGTCTTTCAAAAATGATCTAGAGATACTATAAAGAAACCTCTTGGGAAATGACTAGCTGAACAGTACTTGGGTGAAGCTGGGTTAGAGACTTTAGCCCTACATGAGGTCTTGAAGGATTCTTGAATTGTAACAGTCTTCATTTTTTTTTTTTTTCCAGAATGACATACTGCCTCTTAATTAAGAGAAAAAGATTTCAGA